CTGCAGTGAAAGCTGCAGTACTCACCCGGGTTGATGCTGAAGGTGCTCTGCAGCGAGCTGCAGGGGCAGCAATGCTGACTGGGCCGATGCTGCAGTAAAAGCTGCAGTGAAAGCTGCAGTACTCACCCGGGTTGATGCTGAAGGTGCTCTGCAGGAGCTGCAGGGGCAGCAATGCTGACTGGGCCGATGCTGCAGTGAAAGCTGCAGTAAAAGCTGCAGTACTCACCCGGGTTGATGCTGAAGGTGCTCTGCAGCGAGCTGCGCCGCATGCAGGTGACGGTGCTGGTGGCCGCGTGCATGCGCGCCTGCAGCTGCATGGCGCAGAGCGGGAACTGCGGCGCCTCCCCCGGCCGCGCTGCAACGTTGTGGGCACGGAAACACTGCAGGGAAAACGGGAATGTCAGCCCGGGAATCTGCAGGGGGATCCTACCGGGGTTTTAATGGGTTTTTAATCGGGTTTTTATGGGTTTTTGGGACGGAGTTTAATGGGTTTGGAATGGATTTTTATGGATTTTTTCATGGATTCTTAATGGATTTTTCCCCAAATTTCCACAGAAACCACGCCAATCTCCCTCCCCAGCACCTCTTTGATGACTTCAGTCTCGTTGGCATCCTGCAGCAGGAAAATGGGGAAGGGAAAATCCTCGTAGGAAACTCCACTGCCCACGGGGTTCCAGACAGAGCCATTGCAGTGAGCAAACTGTGATCCGTGCTGCTCTGAGTACAGACCTGGGAGTGGGGGAAAAACAGGGGAAAATGGGGAAAAACATGGGGAAAAAATGGGGAAAATGTGAGGGGGAAAATGTGTCAGAAAATGGAAAAAAAATGTTGGAAAATGGGGGGGAAATGGGTGAAAATCTGAGCCACTGCAGTGAGCAAATTGTGGCCTGTGCTGCTCTGAGTACAGACCTGGGAGTGGGGGAAAAACAGGGAAAAATGGGAAAATATGAGGGGAAAAATATGGCGGGGGAAATGGCGGGGAGAAATAGGGGAAAAATGGGGAAAAAA